AAATGTCTGTAATGGCTAAAATGCTATTGAATAACTTATTGTTTCTTTCAAAAAACTAGTACAAAGCCAGTATGTGACCCTGTATTTGAAAGATAATTTCTGCTGATAGTTGAGGGACAAGTATATGTCGCTCGTAAGAGATCATTAGAGGCATTGGTCAGACAAAGCACCAAAATAGATTTTTTCTAAGAGACTCAATTTCACACAATTCAAATATAATCCCTTGGGTATTAAACAAACTGACTAATGCAAAGTTCAGAAAAACAACAGTGGAAAGGAAGATGAAACAAACAATTGGACTGCATGACTAATCAGACATAGTTTGAAAGAAAAAGGGCTTTACTATAGACTAAGATTAAAGTGAATGAGACCTACATTTTACATTCACATCCAAGTGCCTGTTTAGATAAATACATGCATGGTGTTGCAGTCTTGAATGTCGAGTATGTGTATTCACAAATCGACACACAAATGATGTTAACAAGACTAATTTTCTCAGCTCAGTGTTTTTGCCATACGTGAAGGATCGGCAAGCATTCTGCATGAATTGCTTATGTGCATACACTGTACATGCACTATTCATCTGACTAAAAACAACGGTTACCTTGAAATTCGTATACACCAACCTTATCAGCACTGTTTTCCTGATAGGTGACAAACTTGGGATCTTCAAGTGCTAACGGTAACTTGTACTTTGTTGTCCACTCACTAGCCCTTGGATTTCCCTGTGTAGCTACAGCACAGATGACTTACTCAAACAGCAGGTCAATTTGAAGGTAATCATTAGCATTATTGTTGCCATTGGGTGCCCATGACCTTGCACCATTTAGGCGACCATATTTAGCTGCATATACTGAATTAAATTCTGACGGGGCTGAAAAGCTGCTGTCTGGAATGCTGTCAGTGCTGGCTACACCAATGGCTTGCATAGAACATCCTGCAAAATAACAATACATAACCAACTCTACCTAAATAAAAAATGTAGAAAAAAAATAATACAAAAAATGTTAAGAATGGCAAATACGAGTATGAGAGCGATCTTCGCAGTAACTTTCATATATTAACAAACAATGGCAAATACTCCATCAATGCATTGATCCTAGTTGAGCGTGGCCCTTTGACGTGCATTTCAAATCACAAAAGTTACATTTGATCTACAAACAGAAAATAACCAGATTTTATAAAAGTTCATAATGAAGTTTCCCTAGGTGAATATCGAAACAATGTAATGTTGAATATCATGAGAATAACAGATAATTGAAGGTGGCTTACTTTCTTTGATGAGGGCATAAAAAGTTAAGTATTTATCGTTATAATAATAGGTTTGGCCACTTACAGTAGTACTGGAAATAAGACGATTTTGAGTCTATTTCGGTTTTGCTATGAACAAACTTTCCAAACTTGCAAAATTGCAAACAAAATTGCACGACTAGTTTGGGACAACTGGAATTTGTACTCTGAAAAATTTTTACAAGTGCTTATACACACAAAATTGCACAAGAAATCATGTCATTATTTATTGATAATTCACACAAAAAATGCATTGTGGTAAATCAAGACTTTAAATAAGTAAGTCGACGACCTATTTTCTTAACCAGCATTGATCTGTTGAAGTCTTTCTTCACCATGATATACGGCATAACTTATTTCTTTTCACTAAAAAGATTATATGGTTAATTTCAGAAGTTTTCAAAGTTTTGCTCGAATAGCGTAGGCTGCTTATGGCAACATCTCCTTTCCATTTAAATTTGAGCAAGGAAAAATATATTAGTAAAGACAGTTCATTATCAAAGAAACGAATGACAAATGCCTAAAATAACAAAAGGTGACAGCAATCCCATAGTTCCATCTGAACTAAATTCTGCTGTGAAACAAATACTTCTTCCCAAGCAGGAAACCCTGCCAAGGAGAAAATGACCTCCCTCTTTCCAAAGATAGAAAGACACCATCATCACATGCGGTCTCATCATCTGGAAATGACTCATCCGATATTCTTTCAATTCGCTGCTGAGGGAATCATATTTCCCATCTTCCTCGTCATCTTGTGGCCAGCAGTTTTCTTGCTACTCCTTAAAATCAGAGCATACAAGGCTGACAGGCTCACTCGGCTGAGTTTCTCTGTCATTGAGGTACGACAGGAGAAGTCAAGCTCCTGCCATCATTGTTTTCTGTCTGACAAAGAGCTGATGCACAGTTACACCAGGGTTTATGCTCAGTTCCTCATATTTTGCATGCTCTGTGGCGCCATTGGTGCGCCATTGTTGCCATTGGTACACGATGCCAAGACTTTGGATTTGTAAACTAGTACGCCACCCAATCAATTGTCCTCTCTAAGCCTTCTTTGGCTGCATTTCAAAAGTCTTTTGTGCACTCCAACATCGTGCCAAATGGATCTTTGTAATTATGATGCACAACCAAATGGCTATTCTCCACGTCTAATGCCATGCAACATAACTGGTTTATAACATTTGTGGTAAGAAGGGAAATCTTATCCTCTAAAAAACGACTGGCTGGGGGACAAGGCTTTTTAGGACTTACATGCAGATCAGTTTCTGTGAAAATTCTCATCAATGGACTTTTTGTTTCTCAGTTTATTTAAGTGACTATTTCCCAAATCCCACTTCTCAAAATTGTCGATTTTGTGTCCTCTTCATATAAAAAATCCCGCATCTCACTCCATTCTTACTCTAAATTCCCAGATCCCGGTCTTCAACTAAACCCAATCCCGGATCCTGAAGAAAACCTATTCTGGACCCTCTACACTACAACAAATACAATGATATGATAATATCAAACACGTAACGATAAATATGAGTTTCAAACTCATCAAAATTCAAAGGTACCAACAGTAAATTCACAGTCTTAAGCCCTTTCCTATCAACTATTCTCCTTTGATGTGAGTTTTGTTCCAAGGATGAATTGATTGACAGCTTATTCAACACTGAGCATGAGAATAACAGATTATCCTGGGTGGCTTGGTGTCTTTGATGAGTGTAGAAACAGTAGTTTGTACAATTTAGCCACTAATCTAAAACACAACCATGAATCACCAAAGAAAAGCTAGTAGGTCTCAAAAAACCTTTTTAAAGACTAAAAGAGTTTCTTAATAATAATAATAATAATGATAATAGTACGCTTTATTCAACTGATAAACTAATCAGCACTCTGATAGATTGGCTGGTATAAACTAGTGATTAGCATCATGATAAATAGTTTTAATCGAAATTAAAGGAGAAACTCTATAAAAAACTAAAGACTAAATTAAAGAATAAAATATATATAGAGAAGCTAATACTTAATTAGTTATTGATGATGACTTGTGACTATTTGTTTGATTACCTACAACATAAAACTAATAACAACATGATAATAGCAAACATGCAAAAGTAAGTATAAGTAAGTTTCAAACTCACTTGGCTTTTGTTCCACTCCAAACACCTCTGTTCTCATACACACCCCACTCTGGTGCATTTGAGGCAGGAAACGCAGATATCTTGTTAATACTCCATAAACAAAATGCTTCACTTCTGAGTTCCTGTCATTATTTCCCCTCATAAACTTGAAACAAACAAATAGTCACAAGTCATCATCAATAACTAATTTTTCAACTTGAAAAAGTGACAGGGATTAAAATATCACCAATGTAACTAGCAGCCATAATGATTATTAATAAGCTCAAAAATTCTTATCTAGGACTTCCATCTTTGTGGGATATTCTACACTATCAGACCTTATAGTCCATGTTACAGTCATAAATGTACACTAACACATGTCTAAAACATTGTGCCCTTATGAGAAACAATATGCACTAACAACATTTACCAGATGAGGGTAATTTTTACCCGAATTGACCAATCAGAGTGCTTTGTTTTTTTCAGTTTACCGCCGGGTAAAGTTTACCCTAGTGGGGTAAACTTACCATCAGCAATTCGCTCGTTAGAGCCCTTCTATGGGCTGTATCGACGCAAAATAATTACATTCTTTCGATTGTCCCCTCTTAGAATCGAATTTGGCGATTTGGAGTTGAAAAAGGTGCAAAACCGATCAGCTTATATTGTCGAAAATTGACACGGCTATGTTTGCAAAGTCATGTTTGTTTTACCTTTATGATAAAATATTGTTGACATGAAGGTGTTTTATTGACAGGTTTTAGGTGACAAGTTTATACAATAGCAAGTCAGGCGTGTAATATAATCCTGCAGCAATCCTAGCGCGCGTCTTCTTGACGTTAGCGACCAAGTTAGCATCGAACTTACACTCTCGCGATCGATCATCGGGACGCCACGACAATGTCCTCCTTTTCTTTCTGTTCTTAAATAAAATCGATAAAACAGTCAACATTTTGAATTGTAATGTACGATGCACAGCGTTTCGCTCGCAAAAAACGTGACACATACAACTATGGACACAATATGTAATCTGTGAACATCTTGGTGCCACGTCACGCGCCAAAGAAACCATGTGCGTTTAGCCATTTCTTCCTTTC